TTACAATTTACTTTTTTGATGATATATATTACTATGAATAGCATCGTAAACTGATTACTTTATAGTATTATGTTAATATGGAAAGGCGCTCTGAGACTTAGTTGTATAGAGCGCTACATAAAACACCTACATACTGTTATTATTATTATTATTATTATTATTATTATTATTATTATTATTATTATTATTATTATTATTATTATTATTATTACAGTATTATTATAGAGCCTCTATATATTTGCTGTAAGAAACATCTTCCAACGCTGGAAATAATTTAAAAAAAATAATCATAGGTCTAAATTATGTATTTTTCTACAACCGCATTCCTAATAATTGTAGTGTCTCACATGAAGATATTTGACCTACTTGGGGCAGAGGATGCTACGAACTTATTCAAAACATCGATGGTCCTTAGGGTAGCATGTGTAATTTCCGGATCTCCAGAGGCTTGATAGTCAAACATGCATTCGAAGCTTTCTCCACAAACCCGTTTGACTTCGTCAGATATCCACGATGTTTGGAACCCCAAATAGTGGTACAAAAGTAGGATCACTGTCGCCGTGGCATTTACCAAGCTCATAGTAAAACAAAGCATCTTGTGGATCAATGTTCCCTGGAAAATGTAGTGTATTACATGCTTATACATAATGATTACATCTTAAAGGGAAAATTGGCCTGTACCACAATCAATAGTGAAACGTAGGCTGTTACTATAGTATCTACCGCCACCCTTATTAGTTTGGTTGCTTGTCTTTCACTTTCATAGTATTAGGTCAAATTCTGAGACACCTGGGTTTAAATGATGTGACACTAGGATTTTATTCCAACTAATAATTCATTAACATAAGTAAAAATCAATCGTTTATAGGAGCACTGACAGTAAAATAATATGTGTGCACTTCATAATACCTTCGTATAAAAAAAAAATTGCACCTTCTTTAAAGGGGGTATGGCACGTTGTAAACCATTCAACCGCATTCTTTGTATTTTGCTAAATCTTTCTGTTGCAATAATAAGCATTTAGAAATTATACTTTCTATATTATTCTATTATGTTTAAATATATATTATCATGGATGGTGCCAGATGGGATGCGTGGACTCATTGCCCTGTAAGGAAGATCTGTACTTTTCAAAAGGCGGGGCAGAATGTAAGAGTTTAAAATCGATTGCTAAATCGTAACATTTCAGATCTTTCAGGAGTACTTCGAATGGATCTCCTTCGAAGGGTACTATGCGGTGTTTAAAACCAGCGCCAGATATCATTTCGTCAATCAGCAAATCTTAAAAGACTGCGTTGGAGATAAAAATGCAATAATTAAAGGTAATGTAAACTGTATTTTGGAACAACTTTAATGTAAATAATTGGCCGAAGATCTCTCTTAATGTAGAGTTTACACTGATGAAGTTGCCACTAGGTGTAAAGAAGTCATCGTTTCTATCAGCATCCACGTTCCAAAAAGCCCTTTTGTAGTGCATTTCATCGCTTCTAATCCGTAAAATATTATCGACATAACATCATTAGTTTCTTTAATGGTGAATGCAATGCCAACATAGAATATTACCGTGATTCTGCCTTCTTATCGTCTGGTTTATAAAGTGACATTCCTAAAAATAGAAATTGATCAATCTCGTTCAATGTTAATACTGTAAAGTTATACTGTCGTCAGTAAGACTATAATTGTGGAAGCATTTCCCTTGTGTTCTTAACAATGCACTTTATTTACATTGCTTCTCTCCACCTAAGAGTATATAAAATGGGTACCTGGTGGGGTTGCATGTTACTGCGCCAATATGGCTGCAACACGTACGCATGTACTGGACACAATGACCAGGCACAACAACGCTCTCTGTGGAATAGGCACTATATAAATATTAAAATAACAACTAATAGATATAATCATAACCAAGCACGGATCAGAGCCAGATATTATCCAACTTGGCTGTGAATTTCGCTGTGTCCTTGAGCAAGGTACTTTATCTAAAACATTGCTTCTCTCCACTTAGGATTATAAATGGGTACCTGGTGGGGTCGCCTGCTACTGCGTCAATATGCCAGCAACACTTAGGCATGTGTGCCAATGACCAGAGACAACAAAGCGCTTTGTAACCCAAAGGAATAGGCGCTATAAAAATACTGAAATAAAAAATAACAAATATAATCACAAAAAAGCACAGATCGTGGGTAAATATTAGCAAACTGATAGTGCTAATGTAAAGAAGGCTAAGTATATCGTCCGTCTGCTATAAAACAATAAAAAATAAATAAATAAATACAGCAGCACCTTTAGACAAAAGTGAATAACATTTAAACGCTAGAATTCTTCTACGCAGTGGACTCAGGAGATTGATGAAGTCCACTGTGTGGCGAAAGCTAGAGATTATGTTTTATACAAGTTAATCTTAAAAGTGCTGTTGTCATTTCTTTTATTAACGAGAACACAGAGTAAAAAAATACAGACATTTTAAAAATTGTTCACAATAAACGTTCGATCTATTTGATCATTTTCTAGGCTACTGATTAGAGAATTTCACCAATACATTTACAATATTTAGAGAAATATAACATACAGTAACTAAATAACAACCAACAAATAAAATCAAAATCAAACAGGCCAATAAAACGAGGGAATGAAAATGAACAGCGTTTCACATTATGTGAATTAAATTAACTATTACTCTAGAAATTATAATGAGCGCTTCGTTTGTGAATTCAAAACTTGAAACGGGACACCAGAACTGCCAAAGACAGCTAGTTCATTGGCTTAAGTCAGATGGTCCGATCGATCATCGTTTCATTCAAACTGGTATTTTTACTAGGCATGCGCACACACTTATTAGGTAAAAAGTACCGCAATGGAACATTCATGTTAACCGCAGCTATGTATAACGTCTTAAATATAAGGTATAATTAACAGGGGGTCAGAGGGGCATCCAGGGCATAATTATCTGTACAGTGATGTGGCATGTCGGGCCCATGTTGAATGAACATACGAATGCCCATGCATTTTCCCAGGTATTTGGCACATGGGCCCCATGTGGCGTACATATTTCTACAGCTGTCTGCCCATTACTTGGCATATGGGGCTGAGTAAACACAGGCACTAATATTATTTCCCATATATTTGACACATTAGGCCCTATGTGAATTTGGCATATTGGACCCATGTAGATTGCACATGGGCATGTTTATATGACTTTTTCCAGAAATTTGGCATAATGGGTCACATGTAGATTAAATGTGGCCATTCCCAAAGTTATCTTCCCTGTTATTTGGCATAATATGTAAATGTGTAAATTAAACACTAGCTTAAGCCCATATGTATTTCCCCAGCTATTAACACATGGGCCCCATGTGGAGTAAATGTGGGTATTATTTCCATAATTATGCCCAGTTATTCGGCATATAGGGCCCGTGTAGATTGAACAATATTTATTTTCCCAGATATTTGGCACATGGGCTCCATGTAGACTAATGTGGGAATTCCCATAATTATCTGCCCAGTTGTTTGGCATGTGGTGCCCATGTAGACTGAACATGGGCATGCTAATATGTGTTTTCCCAGATATTTGGCACATGGAACCCATGTGGATTAAATTTGGGCATTCCCATAATTATATGCCCAGTTATTTGGCATGGGTCACATGCAAATTAAATATGGGCATGCCCATATGTAACTGCCCATACATTTGGCATATGGGCTCCATTTGGATTAAATATGGGCTTCCCATATTTACATGCCCAGGTATTTGGCATATGAGTCCCATGTATATATTATATGTGGGCATGCCCTTAAGTATTTTCCCAGATATTTGGCACATCGGCCCAATTCGAAATTAATATGGGCATACCCATATTCAACTACCCAGATCTTAGGCATGTGGGCCCCATGCAGATAAATATGGGCATGCCCATTTTTCCCAGATATTTGGCACATGGACCCCATGCGGATTAAATGTCAGCATTTCCATATTTATCTGCCCAGGTATTTACCATATGGGGCCCATGTACTTCAAATATGGGCATTCCCATATATATTTGCCTATATATTTGGCATATGGGCTCCATATGGGTAAACCATGGGCAAGGCCCATATGTGATTGCCTAGACGGATCCCATAAGGGAAAAATATGGGGTAGCTCATGAGACTTTTCCCAGATATTTTGCATATAGGCCCCATGTGTGATTGTTACCTGAGTTTTTCTTTTCAATGTATTTATGTGTAGGCCTATATATGTATAGTTTAAGCGGATAGTAGCCCTCGATGGCTTATGAAGCAATAAAGTGAATTGAAGTGAAGTGAATTGAATTGAGTTTTGTTTTACTTTGTATAATTTGTATTTAAGTCAAATCGGTCTTGTGGGAAACACATTTTATGTGACAAGATTGTCCGTTTGCAAATAAAGTTATTATTATTATTTTTTTTCCGTGAACAATGGCTTTTGTTTTAGCCTCTCACTAGCAGTCTCCTCGTTGGTCAGTTTATCCATCCAATCACCATTCAGCTTGTGTTTTAGCCTTTCACCCATTGGTCAGTTTACCACCATCCAGCCTCTCTACCCAAACATATAAGTATTTCCCTGTTTGGAGTGTCAGCAGATATTATTCTCCTGAAGACGATTGAAGCATCTCAATCTGGTATCTGGTGGTATTCGAATCTGTTCAACCATGAAGCCTCCGTGGTCTAACTGTTATGACGGTCGCCTAGACAGCGAGAGATCGCATGTTCGAGTCCCGCCAGAGGCATTTTATTACACAATTTCTTTATTCATTTATTACAGACTACATTCGTTGAGAGCTATGCTACACGATGTATTATTATGTCCTTATTCTAACACTGTATTTACCTATCTTTGATGATTATTATATAATTTAACAGTGTTAACGTCTATCTTGATTTATGATAAATTATCATATTTTTTATATATATATATATATATATATATATATATATATATATATATATATAAACATATATATAGCAAAATGATGCAATAAATAATATAAACGTAACAGAGGAGAAAAAGAAAAGTAAAATAAAAACGCAGCTCCACCCAGGACTCGCACCGATAAACTTTTGCATATGTGGTGAACGTCAATACCACTAGACCACGAAGGAATTTTAGTGATCCAGGTAGACTTTTAGTTTTATTCATTCTTTTAAAATGTCTGACCTCATTATTTTAATATAGCTCTGATATCAAAGTGGCCAATCTGTCAGATATCTTTAAGATACGACCTTCATTGTTCATTATTTTCAGCTTGTTGAATATCGAATAGGATACTTGTATTTAAAGTGATTTAAAAGCATATGAGTGAAATAGGCTCCCAGCGGGAGGGTGTGTTTATGCACTATACTGCCTTACTGTATTATGTTAACCAATAAATTATCCACATGGGATTCGGTTATCAGGAAATGTGTGATAATAAATAATAACAAGGTTATCAGGAAATGTGTGATAATAAATAATAACAGCAAAAAGTTTATTTGACGATTAATCTTAAGCTTTACTATACCTTTACAAATCACATTCTTTGAAATCAGTAATTGAAATATATGTGATAGATGCTAGCGTTAGCTTATTGTAAAAGATACACGAAGCCTAAGGACCCAGTTATTCTTAGATACAAACAACTTATATCTACATCAAAAATACGCAGATAACAAAAAGCACCTATGTAAACAATATTGTTTTAGGCATTCTAAATGTGTTAATAACTTTAAAATAATAATTAGTCAATTATTTGTACATCTAAATTATGCATCTTCTATTCATTTTCTAAATGTTTAAGTTATTGAGAAGAAATTATTATAAATTAGACAATCTACATAAAATTAAAAATACTATACAGGCTAATGTTGATGAAGTCTTATTTTTATTGTTCTGTAGTTGCATTTGCGTTCTCACTGACGGCACATTTTCCACTGTCTTGAAGGTCCCTGAATCAAATGAACAAAACAATTAGTCACATACATTATGTCATCAGTTTATTGGCCAAATATTTAATTGTCTGTTAAGAAACCTTAAAATCTAATCAAGCTAGGTTGTACTTCCTAATGTTGAAGATTCTACAATGCATCATCTGTTTAGTGTTCGGTGGTATGTGTACTTCCTTGTGTGTGTTCATATCAAAGCGATTTTTTAAATAAAATTTCAATGAATGAAATACATTAAAATAAATCTAAGCCACAGCGATTGAAATAGAACGCTGAATTGCTTATTTAATAGTATAATAGAAGAGATTACTTAAATAATAAACTTCAAAATATATAACTGTACCTACACACTAGTTTAAATTGAATAACTGAAACTTTGGCGTTTTGACGTTCTAAATCATGGTTTTATTTTTCACTGAATTGTTACATTTTCACTTCAATATGTTAATAAGTAAAATGTTAATCTTTGTTTAGGGTAACTCTAGTATTTTCAGTGGTCTGGTGTTTTTTTTTTTTTTCTGTTTGTGTACCTACGTAAGGGGAAGAAAGCGAAATATTGTTTCAAGAAATGTTGTTATTACCAAATTAATTCTTATTAAGAAGAGTATATCAATATGGACTACTTCCTGTTGTGCTGAGTATATTTTCTATATCTTCTTTCATTCAATTGTCGGTGTATATTGCATAATGTACTTTATAATGCTTAAAAAGAGTTAGTATTGAACTCACGTCATTGGTTGAACGTAGACTTTCTTTTGTTTATTTTTCTTACTGCATCCGTATAAGATGAGAACAATAGAAATGATGACAATAAACACGCCAAGCACCGAAAGGCCAATAATCAGAGGTAAGGAAGTGGATTCTGCAAAATAAAGCGTATCCATCATTACTGCTTGAAATACTTCCTTTATATGATGGTTGAATTATAATGATGTAGTATACAGGCATGCTGATCTATCCTCTCCGTCATATATATACTGATGAAGGACCATAATTTTGCCCAATTTCTAGTTCTATTTCTTGCTTAACAATTCTGACATGTCGGGATCCCGTATCTTAATATTTCTTTTTCCTTAACCGTTTAAATATGTATTAAAACATTACCCCAAGACACTTTAGCGATAATAATTAAGATCTATGTATTTAAAATATGTTTTCGGTAATTAGGCCTATGTCTTGTTAAAATGCCTTAAATCTGATAAGAGTATTGATCTCTATTATTCAAAGTGTGTTGAGAACTCTCATTGTTTTTTTTTTTTTTTTTTTTTTTTTTTTTGGTTTTTTTTTTTTTTTCCTTGCGTTGTTTCACTTGCGATATATATCAATTCATATACAGTTTTTGTCTCAGGTTCCACTTACGCCGAAATGTAAAGTTCCTGCTTCTTGTACTGATGACCCTAGTTCAAACCCGGCCAGCGTCGGGTTTTAATTGAAGTTTTGTTCCACTACTCGAATAAACCTCGCATGACATTAGGTTGGATAAAGTAAAGAACAATGTATCCGATACATGTTTGTACTAACCATCACATATTGGCGGTTCTCCAGACCATTCGCCATTTTCTTGACATATTATCTCTTCTGATCCTTGCACTTCGTACCCTTCGTCACAGCTGAATTGAAGAACACTGCAAACTGTCTGTTGTTGACCATTCGTCTTCCCATTAACTGGTGTCTCAATAAACCTACACAATACTTTAGAAACAATTATAAATTGCATTAAAAAGTGCTTAATAATACATTCTAAGCAATCAATCAATCAATCAACCAACCAACCAATCTGTCATCCTTTAAATCGGATCTATATAATAAGATGCACGAAAAAAAAAAAACTTTATATCGAAAAATATGCCTGCAAGATTATATTTTAAGTACAATGTACAATGTTTATAACAACAATCTTTGATAAACACAGCTTACTTTGCTGACAGATTGGTGCGTCGCTCGACCAAGTTCCATTTGCTTGACAGACTATGTCGTCACTTCCGAGAAGATCAAATCCAGGGTCACAGGTAAATATCAGGTGACTACCTTCTATATTTGAAGTACCATTTTTGGTGCCATTGATCGGCACAGGAACAAAAGGACATGCTACAACTATAATAAAAAGAAAGAAAAATGAAATTATTGGTCACCCCAAATGCCTGTCTCTTATACACATCTATGTGTATAAGAGACAGTATACATATATATTAATATTAATATTAATCGCACCATAAACTAAATACTTTAAATTATAATATTGTAATAGCAAATGCTAATTTACACAAATACCACATAGTGCTATGGTTACTTATGGGTTGTTAATAATGACCATAAGAGTAATGGCATTGCAAAATACTCAAAATCTGCTGGAGAGATATAAAGTTGTTATAAAAAAAATATTTTAACACTGAAAAGAACATTCAAAATAATTATTGGCCTAACTTCATCCCCTCCAATCCCAGACCTATTCTTTTTTGTGCCTGTCCTGAACATCTTTGCCTACCTGGTGCAGAAGATGCCACGACATTATTCAAATTCTCGACGTTCGTTCGGGTAGCCTGTGCAATCTCTGGATCTCCAGAGGCTTGGTAGTCAAACATACACTCGAAGTTGTCGCCACAAACCCGTTTGACTTCATCGGCATCAACGTTGTTTGGAATCTCAAATAGTGGCACAAACGTAGGATTACTGTAGTCATTGTGGGCTTCTCCTGGCTCATAGTAAAATAGAGCATCTTGTGGATCAATGCTCCCTAGAGAATACAGTGAGAAATACTTATAACTATATAGAACATTGGTCTGTGCCAACGGTAATGACTAGTACCATTGCATTTACTGTCACACTTAGTATTTAATTTGTTTCCTTTCGCATTCTCCGTACTTTGTTATAGCTTCGGTTGAAATAATAATTATTTACAATTGTGGCTTGTTTTATAATATTCTATTATATTTAAATTTATTTATATCGGGAGTGACGCGGGTGGTAGATAGTGGATTCATGACCCCTCGAAGAAGAACTGCCCTCATCGGGCGCGGTGCAGACTAGAGACTTTTTATTTTTGATTGCCATTTTAAACATTTACATTTGGAGCTATCGGTTGCTTCGACTAATGGACCCCTGTGAGATGTGTTAAGCGGTGTTTGGAAGCGACACCGAATATCGTTTTGTTAATCAGCAATGCTTAAACTATAAGTAAAAATGCAGCCATTACAGATAAAAATGAATAAATATAACATGTATTTTTGAACGACTTTAACATACATAGTTGGCCGAAGTTGTAATGTATCTCTTGTAATGTAGAGTTTATACTAATGACGTTGCCACTAGGTGTAAAGAAGTCATCGTTTTTATCATCATTCCAGGTTCCTAGAAGCCCTCTTGTGGTTCCTTTCATCGATTCAGTTCCGTAAAATATTATTGACATGACGTCATTAGTTTCTTTAATGGTAAATGCAATGCCAACTTCGAAGATTACCATTATACTGACCTCTCCATCGTCTGGTTTATAAACTGATATTCCTGATAATAAAAATTGGTCAACTTCGTTATTAGTTATTATTTCTTCATTAAGCCTATATCATAGCTGAGCACAGACTGATTGCAGGTGATAATTTTGATGTAAATTAGACGCTGTTATAAAGTTAAACCACTGATCTATGTTTAAGGGGCTTGAAACGCCTGTTTATACCACTCTTCTACCTTTATTATTAGACTCGAGCGATAAAATCGAGCCTCAATAATTGTTGGAGATTACAAAATGCTAGTATACAAAACGTTAATGCTGGTTTCCTCAACCGTGTTTGTTTCTGTTTCTTAGGATATGGTAGTGTTATACGTTACGGTAGTGTCTGTTGCTTTTCAGATAAAGATTACTGTCATAATCGTAAGCGCATTGAAGGTGGATTTGTGTGTACCTATTTACAATTCTTATCATTTGATTCTTATTTTTATACCAGAAATATTGTGAAATTAACGTTCGAACTATTTGATCAAATTCTAAGTTGCTTATAAGAAAATGTCACCCACTTTAAATTTTAAATGAGTGAATTTTAGAAAAAGTGTTTCAAATTATGTGAAAATTTTTTTTAATTGGCATTTCATTTTATTTATTTTTTTTTGTATAATTGAATAATGTTTTGCTCTGATTTATGTAAGCACATACCGACAACATAGAAAGTACATTTTGTTCAGAATTGACGCATATAAAAATAATTATTCAAATTTTTCTACCGTTAAACGTCCAGTATTGGGTACGTTCAAAGTCAACCAATTGCCATCCACTCTCGGATTTGATGCGAGCATCGAGTCCTCTACGCTCACTTAGGCCAATGTGAACACTATCTGTTCCGTCAAATGCTGCAGCCATTGCAGTAAACCGAGTTGCATTTCTTCCTGTCAAAAAGAGGTCCATTAAGATTAAGTTATTATTTTTGAACAATACAAATTAGCAGTTTGAAATTTATATAGTTTTTATATATTAATAATAATAATAATAATAATAATAATAATAATAATAATAATAATAATAATAATGATTAAAAAAATAGAAATCATCATTTTGACAGCTTACCTGTGATTGGTTCTGTCCGGCACTGCATGACGAATTGTCCGTTGAGTGCTTCAACAAATGTATACTCGCCATGCCCGTTAAATGTATAAGACGTACCGTCTAGTGTGCGGATATGAGGATCACCATTACCACCGCCTCAAGTTCAATATAGCAAACATAGAGAAACATAATAAAATGGTGTATACTTAGAGTCAAGGGAAAATATTTTAGGATAAAAAAACAACAAATACCATGTCAATTTTAATACACTGTTATAATACCGGTAATGTATTATGGTAGACACAACAATAGCACCACGTTTTAACCATATTAATTTAGTTCTGTTGTGAATTCTGTTGTTAATGTTGAGTTGTTAATTCAAAAGTTTGAGCAATTAAATTAGATACAAACTTCTAATGAGAGACGCGTTGAAATGTATCATTTTTTGCTGATTTACGGACAATTTTCTAAACTCATGATGTTATATGCAAAATTATATATGAAAAGTAACATTAAATTATGTATATTATGACTATGATGTCATATGCAAAATTGTATATGAACAGTAACATTAAATTATGTATATTATGCCTATAATTAAAGAAATACATATTTAGAGACTCTCAACTAATTTGTATTTATGTTTCATTATGTATAAAGGCGTAGGTCTATTTATTGAATTAAAGCCTTCGGAAAGTAAGTATATAATTGGCATTTCTTGCGGTAGCAGCTGCGGTAACATAATACCAATTGTATAACCATAGCACCTTTAGATGATTTTTAAATGGCACTCTCAGCCTTAAGATTTGAATATACTTTTAAATTTAATCTCCATTTTAGTTAAATTTTTCAAGTAAGGGGAAGTGGCTGCTGTCTATCTTCATATTGGATGTTGTAGCTAATGTCTCACAAAAAGATCATCGCAAACGTACGTCAACACATGCGTTAGTGGGACACAGGTGTGATTGTTTGACAATCTCGTAATATTATTAGCGAATTTCTGATTGGTCAATGATCCCTTAGAAAGGTCCGTAAATAGCTTTCGATTTGCGCGGTAACGTGAATGTAAACAAATTCACTAACCTCTGTCTAAAAGATTCGCACCATACTATTACATAAGATACTAGAAACACAAGATAGAACTCTGGCATAATAAAATCTGAAGCGGATATACTTCCAAAGCTTGTACGTATCTTCAGACGTAAGCGGCTCCCTCCTCTTTACACTTTGGTAGTTCATAATTGTCATACGCATATCCAGGCAGCGACTTTTTTTTTTCCCGGTACGAACCATTTGCATGAAACTCCACTCGGACCGTCTCGGATTGACTCGACTCGAATTCAATACGAACAAGAGCAGGCACTTCATAATGTCGTGACACACGAGTATTCCAATGGCGTCGCCAAGGGGAACCAGAGGGGGCCAGGGTATTTCCCTGTTTGGAGTGTCTGCAGATATTATTCTCCTGAAGACGATTGAAGCATCTCAATCGAAACGTCGAGACTTTCTCAACAACAACAGTTCTTTTCAGAACTACTTACGTGGTGTACTGCAAGCTTCAACATTTATTATTATTATTATTATTATTATTATTATTATTATTATTATTATTATTATTATTATTACTATTACTATTACTATTACTATTATTATTATTATTATTATTATTATTATTATTATACCTATTTTAAGTGCTACCGACAGTTTATTAGTTAATCACTTCTTAATTAAAAATTTCGTTCCTATTATCTTACGACTTATCTTGGTTAATTCATTATAGTTTTTATTTTGATCTGTTCTCTATTTATCATTCATACGTGTAAACGCTGAAATATTCGTCTTGAATAAAATCTCTATTTTGTCAACGTATGCTATCGTTTCATTTTCGTATTTGCTTGTATATATATATATATATATACATATATATATATATATACATATATATATAATAATAATAATAATCATCAAAGAAAGGTAAATACAATGTTAGAATAAGGACATAATAATACATCGTGTAGCATAGCTCTCAACGAATGTAGTCCTGTAAGAAATGAATAAAGAAATTGTATAATAAAATGCCTCTGGCGGGACTTCAACCTGCGACCTCTCGCTGTCAAGGCTATTTGTTTCTAGCCGTAATCATTGTGTAATGGAGTGTATCTGGTGGTATTTGAATCTGTTCAACCATGAAGCCTCCGTGGTCTAATTGTTATGACGCTCGCCTTGACAGCGAGAGGTCGCAGGTGCGAGTCCCGCCAGAGGCATTTTATTACACAATTTCTTTATTCATTTATTACAGGACTACATTCGTTGAGAGCTATGCTACACGATGTATTATTATGTCCTTATTCTAACACTGTATTTACCTATCTTTGATGATTATTATATAATTTAATCCACCGAGAATGTTCACTTCTCTGTTGTTCTTCTAAAAACACCCAATGAATGTTTAATTTATAATGCGTAGTTTTAGTTTACAATACAGTAGGCATATACATATTGCCAATCACAGGCATTTATAAAAACTCACGGTATTCTCTACACACTTTTCTTGTTGCAACACAATGGCTAAAGTACAATCCCGTTCCCGGTTATTTATGTTTCTAAAACTTAACTTTAGTTCGTATTAAGATACAAAAAAACAATATTTCCATCATGATTTAAACTGTTCTGTATAATGAATTAACTGCTATAAAACAACATGATGCTCATTTTGATTCTTTAATTCCATAGACATTTCACTTAATTTAAACAGTATTATTTGAGAGAAAACTGGCTGAGGTCACATAAGATAGCCATTTATAATGTGGGGTCCTTCCAGGGGCTCAGCCATTGGACCCTGAGCGGGGGGAGTTTTTTTTTTTCCTGGAGGTTTGAGGCAGTGGAGGTTGGTGGTGCTATAGATTCAACGTAAGGCCTCATTGATGCAATGAATATTTATAGAGTTTCCTGCCGCTGTTTGCACGTCTTCCATTGTTAAGCGATATATCCCAGGCTCGAGTAGGCCTACCATGCATCGTACAACACCGACTAGTGTTACTGTAGTAGTTTTCTTATAATGAAGAGTATGGTTGAACGCCCAATGACTTGAACCCCTTTTTTTGAATATATTATAACAGAACATGTCTAAAATAAATAATAATTAGGCTATTTCTGCAAAATTATAAACATTGTTACGGCTTTTGTTTGCACTCACGCGTACATATTGTATGTGCACCAACATAAAAACTCACACAAAATGAAATGTGTTTCACTTGACGTAAATGCACAAGTATATAAACCTACGAAATGCTGTTTGCCCTACCAGTCGCGGTATATGTACTGAATGCTCAGTACATTCTTAAATATTTGCAAAAACAATCTCGCAAGTGATTGGGTTTTTTTTTTCGCAACTTTATTTGCGAATGTACTGAACATTCAACACTATACCTGTCTCTTATACACATCTAGATGTGTATAAGAGACAGGTGGTGTACTGCAAGCTTCAACATTTATTATTATTATTATTATTATTATTATTATTATTATTATTATTATTATTATTATTATTATTATTATTATTATTATTATTATTACTATTACTATTCTACGCCTCAATACCTGTCTCTTATACACATCTAGATGTGTATAAGAGACAGATATATATGCATATACATACATATACATACACATATGTGTGTGTATGTATAGCAGGCCTAATAAAAATAATAATTATTATTACGATAATTATAATATAGTTGGTCTTTTGTGTATCCGAATATATATTTAGTATTATTGTGTTAAATTCCTCTTCACGGATAATGTATCCGAAATCATGAAGATACACGCAGTTCCGTAAAAAAAAAAAGATCACATTAAGTATCATGGTAACATTATAATTAATTGTAAAAATTATCACACATTGTATTTTTAAGTTATGTTGATGCCTTAGAAAAACAAGTCCCATTACCTTATATTAGCAATGTTGATAGTGACAATATTGGTCGTCATCATCATCATTATCGTCACCATTGCTATTATTTAATTATTGTCATTGTCATGATAATTATTAGACCTATATTACTGTGCTTATTAATACTGTACTTTACTGCATACGTCAAATAGGCCTAAATACATTTCGTAGGCCTACAACTTAAAAGTATTTATATTTTGGTATGCGTGACTGAGATACATTCCTAAAAAATATAGCCCAGATCTAGACCTAACTGTATACAGTAATGTTTTGTAATTATAGCCTAATCATTATTTCAAAAATAGGCCTATGTATTTCGGAGTTATAATAAAAGGAGAGCTAAGTCTGTGGTGTTCAACACTCTTCATCTCGCTATGTCGCTATCGCATCTCATTTTATCAGCACTTACTGTATAGAAACTGCTCTGACAATAAGAATAGTTCAATAAATATTCATGACTGACTGCCGGATCAGGAAGGTGATATTTTGAATCTATTGCGCCACCAATCTCCACTGCCTCAAACGTCCAGGGAAAAAAATCGTGACCGGCGGGCATTTTTTTTTTCTCATGAAGAGTCAAGCCTAGGGAAACATATAAAGCCCTCTGATTGACTAATGATAAGATGACATCATCGCACAAGAGTCAACCAACTCGCACTCGGATACGGTGCTAGTGAGAGTGATCCCAAGAAAATATATAGGTTTGATTAACCAATTGCAAACTATGGTTTTCTCAGAGCAAGTTTTCACTATTATTACTGTATACGTAACCCACAACTCATGACTCTATCTAGGCCCAGTCTATAGGCAAGGTCTACCCTTGGCGTAGTTGGAAGAGTACCTACCCTCCCTATCCCATATCATCAATCATGATGCAACACGCCTATGCCTAGTTTGCATGACAAGTTCGCCTTCTTTCTCTGAAGAAGTACCTAGCAGAGCAACCTGTTTAAGGCCCAAATAGTCTATTTTTCCTTTATTTCTACACCTCAATACTGTAATATAATAATTATTAATAAATAACTACCCTACTACCAAACTATACAACTACCTGGGCTTAGACCCTGGCCTATTGTGCACAGCTCTCCAATACTTTCTATTATAATTGTAATTTTAAAATTATAATGTTATACTTGACTAACAGCAAACTTTGCAATGTGAGATGCCCCCTTTCTTTATTATTCAGTTGCTCAAATTATTGGTTGTAATTAGTTTTTTATCATTTAGATTTTTCTATTTTGTACTTTTTTCTGATGTTACAACAATTTAACTGTCTAGTCTTTTAATGAATATTATGTCTTTTTGAATGAAAATTACGTAACACAAGTAACATGCAATTTGGTCTTTGGCCACCTTATATTATTGTTTGAGATGTGATGTTTGAATAAATAAAGTAATATTTTTAAATAACCAAACTACAAATAAGTAGCAACCCAGGTTTTTTTTTTTATTAAAAAATCCTCAAACTGCTGATGTTGTTATGTCATGACATAATAAATGGAAGCACAGTACAGCACAACTAAATACTTGAATCTGGTGTTTTTTTTAGGTCCATGAAATGATACCACGAAATAGGGATTTGGCCTTTTGGGATGCTTCTGGATGGAACGCTGACTGATAGACATTGCTAATAGCAGAATGCATAGATCCATCTCATCAATACCTTCAACATAGCCAATTCCAGATGAATGCCTAACCGAAATACATGCAAATGTACAAAGTAAAAAGCCAGATGTTGTCTATAATGTCAACACAGTTGGGTGATGGAAGTTGTGCAAAGAGAACATTGTACTGAAAAATGTTCCACAGACTTCTTAAAAGCAAAAAGAAAGAAGGTGTCCCATAACCTAGTGTATACAGAAAACCTAAACCTTGAAAAAACGTATTCTTCTAAGTCAAAAAATGTAAATTACACTCTTTCCAAATAATATTAATAGTTTAAACAGTACTACTTCGGAAAAATAGATATTACATTATTTATTTAAAAAATATATAAAGTTTGAGATTGTACTAATGGTCACACATCTGCTTTTCTCACTGTTCTGTACTATTATATTTATTACTGTATTTGTTAGCTAATATTTACAAACACAATTAAGGGTTGCCTTAATTTATTATTAGCTGTGAATTATCTGTTAATTTCACACTTTATTATATCATTTATAAGCTGATTTTATTATTTATAATTCTAGAAAAAAAAAGAACACTAAAGAAAAATAACAGTTAATATTATTTACTATTTTATAATTTACTTGTTTCAATTTTCTTAGATGCGCAATTTTGTGCGAGTGTAAATGCACGAGGAGAGAGCAATATATATTGTACTGTAGTAAAGAAAGTTGACTTTCCACATTAGATTTATACATTTAAAATACAGATACAAATACCAACAATATACGTTATATGGTTAATAAAATATACACCATTAATAAATAATATTCATACTGCACAGATTCAGAGAAAGAAAAGATAAATTAAAGTGGTGCAATACACTAACTTTTATTAATAATAATAATTATTACTACTGTTTGCTGTCGTTGTGAATACTAACTTTTGACAGCTTTACTATCACTATTACACTATCTGTATATTGATTAGCTACATTAACTGACATAGACAGGTAGGTAAAGGAAAGACTTTTCGAATAATACTGTGCCTTGTTAAGTGAACTTATTTTTGTAGAAGCCGTCAGAGGGAGTGAAAAATTATTTAGCAAAATTATTTTGCCAAAAGCGTTTAGGTGAAGAACAAAATGAAAATAAAATGTTCATTGATATGAATTTAAACAGTGTTGTAATGAGATAAATACTTTAAATTGATCTAATTTGTGGATATTTCAGTGGAGTGAAAGCCATAATAAAAATATGTAACACTTTTATGTTTTTCTAAAATTTCTATTTTTCGTTGGGGAGGGTGCATTAACTATTCGAAATCGCTAAACAAGGTACAGTGTAATATTTCTCGCTTAAAAGTCTGTGATCCCTAGGGCCTACTATTAGGCCATACTATGCAAACGACCTCGTTTGTACTCATAGTAGGCCCTACTACAGTATGTTCTAGGCCTAGTATCAGTGGGTATTACAGTTGTATGATAAGCTGTGACTATGGTAGCCTACTAATTTAATGTTCCCAATATTGTAAGCTGTTATACATATAAAGATCAGGCTTACTCGGCGCGTTGCATTTGCATGGATTGTTTGGTTGGTTGGCGTGTATCGCATTACTCTGCATTGTATCGCATTGCGAGATGCCCTGCGAGTGCCAAACAAAAGTGCGATTATGTCATCTTATCATTAGCCAATCAGAGCGCTTTATATGTCTCCCTACGCTTGACTCTACACGAAAACAACAACAGCAGCTACTAAGTACCCCAACCTATAGAGTGTAGTAGAAGTAGTAACTAGGAACTATCAGAGGCTAGGAATAATTACCTAGGCCTAATTACAGGCTGAGTTGGCCCCTCCCTAGAATAGGCCCCTAACTACACAACAGTAACGCTTTACATGACATTGACTGAAATTTTGTAAAAAAATTGAAACAAATTTGAAACAAAATTAAAATGGGACAGTGCGTAAGAAAAATATTATTAAATAATAATAAATTAAATATATTACTCCGGCATTATATAAACTTGGCCTAAGTATTGTAATGTAATTAATATTAATATATTTATTTTTTATTAAACGGAATTTAATTTTCTACAACAGCACAGTATGTAGTTTAATCACAAAATAAATTATTAAATCACTGTGTTAACTTTTCAAATAAAATTGATATTATGAGCTGGAAATGTTATGTTCATTTTACTCAATCATTTGTTGAATGAACACACTTGACCTAAATACAAGGCCTAGGCCTACGCGAGGTTTCCTTGCTAAAACTTAATTACCACGAAATCAAGACGATATTCTTCTAGGCCTACCTGTATTGTTATACGATATTCAACCATCACAAATTAAATAACATCTTAATGCTTTCATTCAAACAAATTTACCCACGTCGTCACTAACAAAAACAACATCGTTATAGTCTTTATTCGGGTCGAGCAGAGCCCCGATCGATCGCGAAGAACATACAGGAAGACCACGTTTGGAGAGCACATGATCCACTCTACAAAGTACTGCGCTATCAAGCAAGAAGTAGACAATGAATAATAATATGCGTGTGTTTTCTGTAAAATATTTAATCATTACGAAAAAGTGAGATCAGGGAGATGTAAAAAATACATAAAATACATCTCCCTGGTAATAAGACAAAACAAATATTTTTAATGTTTTATTCAAACATATTTTCCCATGTAGTCTGATCACTATCAAAACAACATTGGCATACTGTGCATGTGTCTATGAAGTATGGATGCAGAACGTGGAATAAACAGCCCCGCTCGACGTTGTGGTCATGATGTAAGAAAGTGAAACGAATACTTCTAGCTCATTATCACAATCATTCAATTATTTTATTTAATTGAAGTACATAGGCTACTACTGTAGTAAATTTAATTACGTTTAGTAAGAACGGTAAAATTATAATTTAAATACTGTACCTATCCGCTAGTGTAAACTGTTTACGAAAACTCATACACCCAATTTTGGGATTCCCCATGTGCGTTGATTTGCCGTCGATTCGATCGTGTGTTGTTCAATGGCTTTTTAAAGAGTAGAAATAGAAACCATTTGTTTTTACAAGAAAAATTGTTGTGTCAAGTTAATGTATTTTAACAGGACTATTATAAACACGTCCACGTTTGAAGATTTGATTTTCGTGTACCGTGGATTCATGGTACAGCATTCAGCAAAAGGCCGATGCTAATTTGGAGTTTGAAAGTTGAACTCCGCGTTAACGTACATTTAACATGAATCGATAAATTTACGTGACCAATAATGCAAGTTTATTAAAGTATGACTGCGCATGCGTGGTTTCATGTACGTAAACATATCGTTTACTGATTTGTTTACCGCGACGTAAATATATCCACTTCCTAAAAATAAATAATAATAAAAATAAATAATAATAATAAAAATAAATAATAATGATGAAAATAAATAATAATAAATATAATAATAATTAAATAAAAATATAATTTCGCTATTAATTAACTTTGCCTAAGCCTTGTGATCAAGGGGCAACTACAGTACAATACTATTTACTAGGCCTATAATTAACAACTAGGTATCATGCATACATTGGTGCTCTGCTATTTTGGTAGGTCCTATGATGGCATCCTTATTTTAGAGCTCTCTATTCTCAGCTTTTCTTTTAATGTCAAAATAACTGTGTCACCCTGTTTATTTGATCAATAAATGCTGTTATGTTCCTTCCTCTTTCTGCTTTCTTCTGAAAGCCGCCTTCTAAACTTTTTTTTGGGTAGTGATCACATTCTCTTAGTACATGACCATTCCAAACTCCTAACTGCCTATGTATAATTTTTAGTAGATCTATGCCTGGTACTTATAATTATTTAAAACCTAGGCCAACTAAAATATAAAAATGTTCACAGTATGTAACTCAAGTTCAAAAAGCACTATTTTATTATTCGTGCTGCTAAATCAAATATTATATTTTTCGTTTTAAACGGCCCATTAGTTATTAGCATGGTAACATCAATGCGCAATCAAAATCAAGCAGAAAGCGACAATGCTGTATCTCAGAAGTTTTGTAGGCGTTTATCTTTGGTTGATGACCCTTCGACTTCCAGAATTGAAAGTTTCGAATCTAGTCAGTCGAGACTACCCGAGTGGAGTTTCATGCAATTGTTTGGTACGGGGGGGGGGGGGAAATGGCATGGCGTATCTATTTAAATTAGTCTAAAGTTCATGACGAATAACTAGTATTTATGTTTTATAACCTTAAGTAAATACTTGCATTCGATATGCTAGTCTTTTCAATCCTTTCAGAAACGTAGTTTATTAATTTCCAGCGGTATGCGGCGCACACATTAATAGGGCGCCGCGTACGACTGGCACGCGTAAAACTCAGTTGGTATTCTCACCCATGCCATTCGTTGATACAGTTGTTTTCTGTAAGAGTCCAATCTTTTGTTTCTAGTATCTTTGCTATTACTAGAATCCAGGCGACAATGAGAACACACCTCTTCAAGTTACATCATTACGTTCTGTATATTACCGTCGTCGTGTTCTCAATTGCTTCTTATTCAGCACATTGATAAACGTCGTTTAATAATGACCTACCTATTGCTGGTGGCACATAGCTTGTGCAATCGTCTGAGGGACGCCTATCTTTAAAATTTTCACATTCTAGATACGAATAGTAACAGCAATATCGTAATGGTAAAATGTCGGCTGCAAAATGGGACAAGTAAGGCACTTGTCCAATTTTCCCATGTGGTGTCAATGCTTGGTTATGGCGTCGATGAAAAAATCCAGCATATAGTTGATCTTGAATGTTAAGTAGTTCACCATCAGGTCCGTAACAACACTCTACCCCACTACCAGACTCACTGTAATGCGAACGTGAACAAACTACATAATCAATCTATTAATATTATTGATTATGAAAATAATAATAATAATAATAATAATAATAATAATAAAAATAAAAAATAAAAAAATAAAAAATAAATAAATAATAATAATAATAATAATAATAATAATAATAATAATAATAATAGTAATAATAATAATATTTTTCAATATACTGCGCATTTGGTTTTGAAGGTCAGACCTTTGTAGTACCACATCTTCTGCTTTAATCTACCGCATGAGATAGAGGCGTTTGACATCCTGATGCGGATTTCTTCACCCATCTTGTTGTTCATGACTGTGGATCCGAGGTATTTAAATTTCGACACTTTAGCTAGATGTTGGTTGTCAATATGGATGTTTTACCGGTATCATGAGATCCCAGGGGTGGCTGATATATCAGTTCTGTCTTTTTAATCTTGATTTCTAGTCCGAATGCTTGAGCCGAGCTGGCAAATCTACTTATTATTTCCTGAGAATCATCATGGTAGTGTGCAATGAATGCTGTGTCATCTGCGAACACAGTTCTCTTACAAGTATCTTCAGGGTTTTGCTCACAGACTTGTACTGGTTGACATTGAACAAGTCTGCTCCAGGTCTGCTCTGGATCCATGCACTTTTTGCACAGTCTTTGAAGGCATGATTGAGCACGACAGACAGGAATATAGAGAAGAGTGTGGGAGCTAGTACCCAACCTTGTTTTACTTTACTCCGTTGTTGACCTCAAAATGATGGGAAAGCTCTCCCTTTAGTCTTACCGAGGTCTTCATACCCGTGTGTAGTGCGCTGATAAGGTTGGTAAAGTGGGTGTGGCAGCCAATTTTCAAGAGAATCTTCCACAAAGTTGTCCTATCCACTGTATTGAACGCTTTGGTAAAAGTCAACGAAAATCATATAGAGTGGCATATTCTGCTCTACACATCTCCTGAATCTGTTTGAGAGCGAAGATCATATCCACTGTTCCTCTCCCACTGAATCCACAATAAGCCTCAGGTAGAAATTTTTCAGAATAAGAGGAGAGTCTATGAAGTAGAATGCGTAGCAAAGACCTTCACAGGTATCGATAACAGTGATATTCCTCGGTAGTTGCCACACATTCGATTTGACGGTCTCCTCTTTTTAGGATAGTCACTAGCTTAGCATCCTTCAAATCATGTGGGACCTCACCATTTCCAGACCTCCCTGATGATGTCACGAAGAGAAGTTAGCCATGTGGGACCGCCTCTCAATGATTTCAGGATGAATTCCATTCAGGTGATTTACCTTCACACAGCGTCTCTACTGCCTCTATAACTTCGTCTAAGTCCTATTTCCGTCCCATTTGGGTCGATGTTTGGTGTTTCGTTTAGCAGTGCTCTGAAGTGTTCGGTCCATCTGGTGAGGAGATCTTGTTTCCTCTGTGAGCAGCGTTGTGTTGTCAATGGCAAGCAGTTGATCAGAGTGACTCACACGAGGGCCGCATTCATACTTTGGTAGAAGCCTCTGATATCATCAGTGTCAGCAAGAAATTGAAGCTCTGCACCTTTTGCCATCCACCATTCATTCTTCAGTTCTCTGCATCGATTTTGTAGGAGTTTACTGTAAGTTTTAAATTTAGCCTTATTATATCGGGTGTTCCTGTTGAGCATGTTGGTTCTGGCTTGATTCCTGTCATCCGACAGTTGAACAAGCTCCGCACTGTTCTCATCAAACCAGTCCTCCTGTTTTTTCGTTGCATTGCCAAGGTGTTCTTCAGATGCATTGCACACCACCTCTTTGAATGTCTACCATTTGTTCTCCTCAACCCCTGATGGTATGGTATCAAGCCTATCAGTGAGTGTCTTCTCTAGCTTTTTTTTTTCTATTAATCAATATAATATAATGTAATCGTTCATCAGTTGATAAAATGTACAGCTAATAAGATTTCATCCTTTTTCTTCTTCCTTTCTTCTCCACTTTTCTCTTTTTTCCCTTTTACTTTTCTTTCCATTTTACTATAACTTAAAAATCTATCAAAAAAAGAAATTAAGTAACTCTAAGTAACTCCAACTATACGCCATTCTAATATCGTATTCGTAAAAGTATTGAATAAATCTGGTTTTGTTAAACAATCATAATACTTCATTCTAAATCTAAAAATTGTGAATGAGGCAAAAACTAACATATAATTAATTAAAAAGTAATCATGGCCTTTTAAATGGTCAACTACAATAAATGAACGTAAAGTAATAACGACATTTGGGAGGTCCAGTTTATGTAAGAATAAATTAAATTGATTCCAAAAATCTTTGATCTCTCAACATGAAATAAATTTATGTAATCGTCTTGAATTTTGCATCTTTTACACAGAGGCCAATCAATAAGTTTCCATTTACATACGTTTTTTCGACATGGTATGAGTTTAAAATGAAATGTATAACTAAAATTTATTAGTAATCTTTCTTTAATTTTAATAAGTTTTAAAAGCCATACTTTATGCCAATTTATCTTGATATTTAATTTATTTTCCCACTTATTTTTAACGTGTGATTTTACAGATTTTTGTTATATTAGTTGATGATAAAAATATTTTGTTTTAAGCACCTGTATATTTTGTTTATTTGTTTTACGTATACAATCTAATTTTCCTGGATTTTTACGTATTTTGTCTTTCCATGAAACCGGAATAGCATCAATTATTGTTTTTAATTCAACTAACCAATTTGCCGAGGATTTAAGTTTGTTGTAATATAGTATTGGCATAATATGCCGTCTTTATTTAAAATATCATTGATATATACTATTCCTGAATTAATCCAGTGTTTTACATAAGGGAAAGTATTATATTTGCTGTTTATCAATACATGATTTCCACATAATAACTTCACTTTTTATTTCTTCCGCTGATATAGATGTATATATCTGATATGATGAATACCATGCTAAAATAACCTGGCAAAAAAAAAAAATGGGATATGTTGGTGTTGGTGTTCTGTGCAGAGTGTAAGAAGAAATTCACCATTGGAGTTCAGCTTCCCATAGCCATACTTTCTAAGAACTTTGGGCCAGGTGATGTAGTCTTTACCAACTCTAGCGTTAAAATCACCCATGAGCATAATCTTATCAGATGGTGAAATAGTACGGAGTGTGCTGCACAGTTGGTGATAGAATTGATTAATTTTTTTTAGTAATGTTAGTCATTGTTAGTGCATAGACGTCTATAAAGGTGCAGTAACGTTCATCAGATAAAGGCAGTCTAAGTGTGATCATCATGTCATTCACCGGCTTAGGTTCTTCTATCAGTTTAGGAACAAAATCATTTCTGATAGCGAGAGCAACACCAGATTCACTACGTTTTCCAGTCGTTTTACCACTCCAGTATATGGTGCAGCCAGCTTCTTCCCTGATGTAACCAGTCTCAGGAAGTCTCACTTCACTCAGTGCTGCAATGTCAATGTTGTATTTGCACAGCTCATATGATATTATTGCACTTCTTCTCTCTGGTCGTTCAGAGTTTTGTCTATCTAGCATTGTTCTGATATTCCAAGACGCAAACTTCAATTTAAATGAAGTTTGGACAATTTTTATCCTGGGCGATGAGCTGCCAGTACGGTTTCTTCGTAATATGAGACTTTATGTTTTATTGGATAACCTGACGAAGTAATTTAAGAATACACTGGGTTTTGTCAGTTGCCAATATACCCCTCCCCACTTTTGAAGTAGGCTGGGCTTGCAATGATTAACCAAGACGAGCTCAGTAGTTCAGTAGTCGCAGTGACCGACCAGAAGAATAGCAGAGTTTGCTGTTCAGGTGCCCTCACAGATTGTCACCCTCTAGGTTTTCGGTCTGGGTTTTCCATCCCATAGATCCTCGATGCTGTTGGCCTGGGAAAGATTCCAGTTTCCAGTGGCGACCGCGTGGAGGTCAGCATGAAGTCTTGGCTGGCATTAACTTCTCTCAAGATACATCGTCACAGTCTAGCCCTTGGATACTAGGTTATCACATCATGGATCCAGCATCCATCACCACTATAATTGACTTGGGAGTACTTATGACTAATAATAGCATTATTAACAAAAGTTGATAGTAAATATTACATTAATAATAATACAATATTTACATAGTTAACATTCAGTCATTTCCGCAGAAAAAAAAATATTATAAAATATTAATTAACACGTTTAAGTACATAAATTCGAAAAGGGTAGAAGAGAAATTTTCAAACTACCTTGGTGTATTTGCTCGAACGCATTGAGGAACGTACTTGAACGTTTCACAACCGAACAGAAAATTGCTAGGAAGGTAGCACGCTGAGTGTGGGGTAAACCGTCCAATGTCGACTAACGCCTGTTGCAAGGTGCACGGGCACTGTTGCATATCCTCGAGGAAGCTACCGAGGCTGTCCTCTAGTTTTCCCCAATCATCACACCACGTATCACCCCTGAAATCGCCAAAAGGGCTCTGAGCTGCATGCAACCAGCCTAGATCCATAACCTCACTCCAGATACTTTGTACATACCTAAAATTAGAATAGAGATTGACTGATCAATTGATTTCTCATTTAAACATATTCCTTGGTTTAACATTTGCATAATATTACCAGTATTACGGTATGTAAGTAGTGCGAGATTACAAAAATTTAATTACTAAAATTAAAATATATAGGCCTACAAAATGCAAATTGTCTTGCAGAATTTATGTTTTAGTTATAGATTATGTGTGAATTAAAACGCATCTGAACATTAATGACTGAAAAGAGTAGGGTGGGATTTCAAATTCAAATGACATTTACTATTACTATTACCATTACTATTTATTATTATTTTTTATTAAGTAATATGTTATATTACGTTTACTTGATAGCAACTGCATTTTATCGTACAGCAACTTATCTCAGGTCAATAAGCATAAAATACTCAGAATCATGAAATCTTCTCGTAAAATTATCGGTTCTGATGTCGATAATTTTGATGACATATATACAAAAAAATGTACTGAAGAAACTTGGTAATATAATTAAAGACATGTCCCATCCTATGTTCTTGCAATATACCTTTAATAGATCCGGTCGTTCGTCCAATTAAGTGCAATAATAACAGATTAGGAAGACATTTTATTCATAACTCAATCCATATGTACAATAATGATTTTAATAGATAAACTACAGTAACTAAATCAGACGAATTTTACTTATATATTAATATGTACTAGTGACAATAAAAGAATAGTGTATTTTGTATTTATTCAATGATGAAAATAAAATAAAGGTGTACAATATAATGCAATAATATTAAAGGAGAAGGTAAGTAAGAAAAATAAAACATCATTGGGAATCATGACTAGAACTTGTCTAATCATGACCCCATGAAAAAAGAGAGATGAGTTTAAAGCTACCATAATTATTTAATGATGGTACAATGATAAGTAGTTTTTTTTAACTTTGCCTTTAAAGACAGGTAAAGAAACTAAATTTGTAATTGAAACATCCATATTATTCCGAAAATTAGGACCAGCAACAGAAACAAAAAATTGATTTTCTGAGTCTGAGGAACGGAACTGAGACAAAAACACTTCTAAAATTGTATGGGATTTCTCTTTACATTGCTCAAAACCACTACCTGAAGAACCCACAGAGAAAAGAAATAATTTTACATTTGTTAAATGTTGATGTGGTTTATTCTTAACGATATTCCACACGACAATATTCAAGGCAGATGTCATACTAATTTTGTCGATGTTAATAAGATTGTACTGAATTATGTAGATTTAACACCAATTTACAAATTATGACAAACAAATCAATAATCAGTAAAATAATGGACTTACAAATCGTCCTGGTTGTTCCACTTTGAAACTCTTACAATTCCGATATGATCGTTACTGCTTACCGGTACATCTTCAGCGTGAAATCTGATTATACCAGCAGTTCCATCAACTTGTTCCGTTATCATCATTCTATCGAGTGTGACCTGTAAAGTTGTCCAATCCTCCGCATAGATGAATAATTCAATATTAACAGTTTCGTGCGGTGTAAATGAGGTATCCCAAGTAACCGATATGGATGGTGAAGATGTATAATCTACAGTTACTGGAGCAGCAACATCTTCTATGTTGACTTAAACAGAAAAAAAAAGAATTAAGACAAAAAAAAAAAACACTTTTATCCCTTAAATCTAACTTTTAAAATTATTCAATTCAATATTATTTTTATCAATTCATTCCAAGGTTATGTTGTCTACAAGTAAATACAGAACAGTACTCGATCATTACTCTTATTTAGTAGAATAGAAGATAGCGACAACAAAAGTTACGTCTTACGTAATGTAAAAACGCCCTCAAATCCAAATGTTAGCCCGCCATCATTTGACACGTAAAGCCTGATTCGTCCAGTCTGGAAAAGAATGGGCGTCACACACTCCGCCTTTAATGTGTTAAGAACAACACCTTGAGTTTCAGGACCCGTATCCGGGTCAATAAACTTACAGGTGATGTTGTTTTCGACATCAAAACACGGACCTTGGATGAGGACAGTATTCCCTCCAAGCATTAGACCAGTAGATGGAAAGACTGTAAGCGTTCCGGTATTGACTAAAGTGTTATTTAAATTAAAACATATATTATTACAATTATTGCAGCTGAATAATAATAATAATAATAATAATAATAATAATAATAATAATAATAATAAAAATAATAATAATAATAATAATAATAATAATAATAATAATAATAATAATAATAATAATAATAATAATAATAATAATAATCATCAATTAGTAGAGCTCTGCATAGTACGCTATAGGAAAATTATTATACGAAGGTTAGATTTAATGCTTAAAAAAATGTTTGAATGCACTAAATCTAACCTAAGTATAGTGTATGATGCATGCTCTACTAATTGCTTTATAAGTCAATCGCCGTCTTTTAATGTTAGTTTTTATAACCAACTGTGTTGCACCAGTTGCACCAGTCATAGGTTGCTATAGTAATATGATCAGTATACTGTGTGCGTATTTATATTTTGTGCGTAATATGCTGATTTGTGCTCCTGCAGTAGGCAGCGCCTACGCGTTAACTACTCATCAGCAGTACTGTACGGATACGATGAATAAGTAGGCCTAGGCTATTTTGTAATTTGTATTGTGTTAGAAGAACTAATTTTTCACATTCGCCAAAGAAATAAACATTTTTCAAAGCATTCGAGAGCGAATACAGTCATTGTCACTAACTATTTGGTCGGTGCAGACAGGTAAACAATTGTTTTTTGCACACGAACCTAAAAAATTAAGCCAAGCGTCCACTAATAGAAAAAATAGTGGACGGTTAAAATTAAAAGACAACGATTGACTTATAAAGCAATTAGTAGAACATGCATCGTACACTAAATCGAAAATTATTATACTTAGGTTAGATTTAATGCATTCACAATTTTTTTTCAAGCATTAAATCTAACCTTCGTATAATAATTTTCCTATAGAGTGATTTGCGGAGCTCTACTAATTGCTTATTATAAAGAATACTATTGATCATATGATGAACATGAGGACATAAGAATATTTATTAGTAATAATAATAATAATAATAATAATAATAATAATATGAATTATAACGAATACTATGAATATATTATGAAGATGAGGACATAAGAATATTTATTAATAATAATAATAGTAATAATATGAATTATAACGAATATTATGATTATATTATGAAGATGAGGACATAAGAATATTTAATAATAATAGTAATAATAATATTTATAATAATAATAATATATTATAACGAATACTATGATTATATGATAAAGATGAGGACATAATAATAATTAATAATAATAATAATAATATGAATACTATAATAATAATAATAATATGAATTATAACGAATACTATGATTATATTATGAGGATGAGGACATAAGAATATTTATTAATAATAATAATAATAACAATAATATAAATATAATAATAATATGAATTATAACGAATACTATGATTATATGATGAAGACGAGGACATAAGAATATTTATTATGAAAGCTATGTGAAAAATACTATTTCAATAACATGTTTTAATCATTATTAATAAAATGCTAAAGTATTGTTTTTTATGTTCAGTTCAATTTCCTAGTGTTTGTAATCTCTTTAAAAAAAAAAGGTCAATGTTTTTGCTGATGCACTTAGGGTGTTTGAGTGTTATGAGCTGCGCCCAGGACGGTAGATGTTACTTGTTTAAAGATGTATTGTCCCTTGCTAAATACCAACAAAATCATAAATATAATTTTTAAATTAACTTTCCCATTTTGAAGTAACATGAAAGTTAATGACTTGAACATAGAAATTAGTGTATTTAAGAAATGTCTACCCATCAGTTTACAACAAAAAATGATAGAAACACTTCCAGTCACTTGAAGTGTTTTATTATTTTTATTATATTTTTTTGGTTTGAAAATCCGGGTACACATTTTTTAAATTCAATAATGTTTATGCACTAGTTAATATGTGTATGCTATTGCAATATGAGCAAGTTTATTTCAAAATTATTTTTTATGATTTTTTGACATTAGCGAGGGACAATACATCTTTAAGCTAATAAACTAGTCGTATAACTTGGACAAGTAAACATGGAATATTATTTGTTATCAATTATTGAAAAGAATTTTTACCCAGGAACTACTTTTTAATAAATAAGATTAACTAAAAATGAACATTCAAACAATTCCATTACGTATGCTTAGACTTCTCTAAAATATTTATAATCTGCACCTAATTTTAAATTCTTGCACGCGCCATAGCATTAAAGTTATCAGTATACTGTACCTTCATTGTGGCAACCATCTTCAATCACGTTCTCCTCGTCTATTCGAAATACCCAGCGTCCGATTACACCTACGTTTGTCGTAGTATCTATATCGACAATCGACGCGTTTCTTGAACCAGGCACTGAGTAGAAGTTTCGTCCATCTCCGGCATTAAAGCCTACCTATCAAAGGTAAGATACATTATAAATTCATATTGTTAAACCATAGCTGTTTTTCAATTTAACTTTGTGTGTTAGGTTGCCAGCATGTACAAAGGCTGTAAAAATAAAACAATATCCCCCAGTGTCACAGTAGTTGGTGAAAAATTTGGATACAGAATAAAACATCATATTATCGAATAACTTGAAGTTATTTATTTATTTGTTTCAAATACACATACATACGGATATACAATATAATCATAAAAAATACAGGGACAAGAAATATATTAACGGAGAGAAACAACAGGAAAAAACACATAAAAAAGAAATTCGTTCACAATAATATACTAGAACAAATAACATGAAAACAGAGGAACCATGGTTAGCCCACAAGTGATGTCGTAAAACAACCTTATCTCCAGCGGGTCCCTAATTCTATGATGGGTTTCTTTTAGGAGTTGAAAAAGAAAACAAATCATCAAAAGAATAGAAAAGAACAGCATAAATTAATTGGACACTCATTACGTAATGATTATCTCTTCAAAAAGGAGTTATAATGGAAGATGTCTGAGTGAGTGAGTCAGCCAGAGATCGAAATACTGGTTCATTCCTATACAGCGCCATTATTGTGAAGCACATATCAAGAGTTAAAGAAAGAAGTGATATACCATGAAACGTGGAGGGAGTGGATGTACCTGTCAAAAGGCAGATCACTATTAATTGAATATTAGAGTATAAGTCAATCACTGACTCATACTCTAACAGTCATGACTGGTTTCAGTCAATTGTTTTAATAATAAAATTTGAAATGTTTGGAATGTAATTGCAATAATTCAAACTTTTAAAAACCTAAATGACAAGGTTGGAAGAACTTCGCTTAGTTTGTAACTAAATAAAATCACTAGTTATTGTTGAGGCTATCTCTTTACTTTCATTTATTACCGGTACTTCCTTATCTTTAAAAATGTTAGTTATTTGCAGCACACAGATTTTCTCTATTTATTTTTTTTGCAATGTCAGTGAGAAAATTATCGAATTTTCTTTTACATATATTTTGCTATGTAGCACTACTGTATTTTATTGCACATAACTACAGGTAGGTTTGGTATTATCGGTATATAAACATGTAATACAAACATAATGTTGAGTATTGGCTTAATAAGCAAACAAAATCGATGAATCAATCATCTATTACGGCTTATTTAATACCTGTGCTGGTGTACCACCTAGACCGGTGTCCGGGTTGCCATCACTCGCCGCGCCAGTTGTCCACTCAATGTCACCATAATGGAAAAAAGTAAATGAATGACGTCCATTTGTAACCAATATCGCCTGAAAATCGTTTCTCTTATAAACACAAACAAAAACATAATTACAACTTAAACAGTTTCACCATAGTTGGCTAAGATTTTTACAGTAAAATGAAATTGTTATTTTGTTTCTCTTAAATTGTATTTATGAACACTAATTCTAGCATTGGTTGATAACGTTTTTAATCTGATATCTCTGTATGTCTTTCATTGATAGGCCAGTAGACCTAATTTAATTGTGGACTAAAAAATCTGTAGATTTTTACAAAGTAAAATTCATGGTATTCGTTGAAGGTCGTACATGATTTGTGTTGTCAGATATTGTCCAACCAGACCTAATATTGTACTGTATACTCGGTAAGTCCCCAAATGCATGCAAAAACAATTATTTTAAGTGAATTTTACAACTTTAACCTGTATTTGGTTAAAGAACTTACAGGATTTATGTTGTTAGATCCATAATACGACACGTTATCCCATGTAGCAATGAACAGCCAAGTAGCCGTAAAATCATTTTGGTCTATGAACGTATCTCGCACTATATTTGTAGCTCGGTCGGCCAGACCTTCGTTATTGTGACGCACAACTTCTCTGTAGTAGACTCTGCCACCATTATTAGTGTCTACATCAGCCCAAAATGGAGCTACCAGTCGTCGATCATTACCAAGGGGGAACGGATCTGGAGTATACTGGCTTACTTCCCTTAAGAATGATATGACGCCATTTGTATTTACCTTTAGTATCATTAGGAAGAGATAGAAACTCAACATAAAATATTATAAAGTAATACAATTAAATTAAAGGTAAATTCATATAACGACTATAATTTTTAAACTATAGCTTTCTACATGTGGTGAAGAATAATAACATGAGGCTGAAACAACAAAACAATAATAGACAACCAAAAACACAGTTAATTGAAGATAAGATAGTGACTGTTAGGATCCCGTAATTAATAATATTAGTAATATAATAATAATAATAATAATAATAATAATAATAATAATAATAATAATAATAACAATAATAATAACAATAATAATAATAATAATAATAATAATAATAATAATAATAATCTCATCGAAATAAAAATAATAATTGATGATGTTAATGATGACGGTGACGATGACGACGATGATGATAACACTGATGATTGTATTAATTATCTAGATAATACAATTGCGAATAAGATGAATAAATTTCGATAACAAAAGCTAAAACTTATATAAAAATATAATGCAATAACGATGAATCAACCTATCATATTAAAGTATAAATATAATATTTAATTTATTTTTTTCCTCAGACCTGTTTTCTGTACCAAGGAAGCATTTTACTTATATATATTGCTATTATTTACAAATCAAATACATAATAAAACTTTAAAATACATTTTAATTGAACAATTATGTCCTATTTACATCTTATAATATTATAGAAACTTACGTAAAGAAATTCATGAATATGATCAAAAAAGGGAAAAAGTGTCGATAGATAAATTATACCCGAGCTTCCGTCATCATTGATAGTCACGCTGGAGTCACCCTCAGCTGTGCCAAAAGGGAAGAAAATATCTGAGAAGATAAAGTTACATTACAAGTTACATATTTTTTTTTTATTTTAAAGAAATTCTGAAACTCTAACAAAGCATTAAGATGCTTGTCTTCTAACCCCAAAGCACCGGGTTCACTTCTTGTGACAGTATGGGTCTTCTCGGCGAATTAATTGCTGTTGGAAGCAAATAACATAAATTCTAACAACATTTTTAAGATTTTGTTTTAACATATGAATTGATAGTATGCCAAGATAATTCAACTTTATTTGACAAAAAAAATATGAAATGCGTAAATATCCATAAAGATCACATCAAAACCATAATATAGCCACATCCTGACTATATGGGCATAAATCATATAGGACTATGTGTGTGTGTGTGTGTGTTTAGTGACGAAACGCTGTGACGAATAAAAAGAAAATAAAGTATTGAAAATATAATGTTTAAAAAAAGATAATTTAAAAAAAAACACAAAAAACAACAAAAACACAACATCTTAACAGCAGTGGAACTACCTGCTCAAGACACCAACTTTATATTTCTGAGGTTCGGGGATGAACAAATAATAGAGATTTGAACTAAGTGCGAAACAAACAGTTCATACTAAGTATGACACTTGCACCAGTTTCACAGCGACTCAATTTTTAAAATTCCAATGCATTGTCAACAATCTAAGCGTAAACATTTCATCTTAAGCCTATTAATCAAGGCCATTTACACCCAGACGTCAATATAAAGTGTTGTAATCGTCATTATAATTTACATTTAGAGCATCTAGCTCAGTCGCTTAAACTGGTAGGCACTGTATGTAGGCTGAACCGTGGATATCTCTTGGTCCCCGATTCGCCTCCCATCACTGATCTCCTTATGTTTCAGCTGGAGGTCTTCAATTTTCTTAGGTTATCCTTGGTGTTCACACCGAATAAACTCCTCCATTTATTACCCCTTCACGTCTTCACGCTTTACTTCTACCAGACACGGTAATTTAAAATAAAACATGTTAGCCACATTTCAACAGATTATTAGTTATGAAGGCTACTGTACCTACCTTTACTTGCACATTGTCGACAAAAATAACAAAAAATAATACAAAAAATATAATTATGTATCTTCATACTGCTAATTTTTCACTATTCTATATCAAGTTGTATCGTGCATCTCTATGCGTTAATATGTCTAATATTTGTCATTCTATAGGGGCGAGGTTAATTTGCGTCACTATGTGTTCAATGATAAGAATTTCAATTTAAAATATATCTGAAGAGGTTAACAAGCCACGGACCAACCTTTATATTGTGATCAATGATAAGATTGTCAACTTAGGCAGGGGACAATTATGAAGAATATACCAACTGAACCGGACTTCAGTTACTTCTTTTATAAGATAGAACTACAGTCAAACTTCAACTTACTGTACAGGTAAGCCTCGTTTAATTTAAAATCTAACGAAAGAGGTTAACACGCCACAAAGCAACCCTTATTTGAAGAATGATTATTGTTTATTAGTTGTATGGAATGATAACAGAAAATGCTTCGTCAGTTGCATATACATTTCAATTAGGTATGTGTGCAATTAGAGATAATTTTATTATACAAGCAAAATAATAATCCTCCCATGACACAAACCACAAATAGTAACAATAAAAAAGAAAATAGGCGTCAACACACTGTACTTGGCGTGCCTGTCAAATAGAATGAAGTAAACCTTAACACATTCAAATTTACACTGGAATGCCATTTGCACACCATTCAGTTTATCTGCGCAAGCGCAGTATACTCAGAAAATGCTTGGTGAGCTGTAGCTAGAATAGAAGTAAAAAACAAAATAAAAAGAACGTCAAATAAGATTACAAAGACTATATAGTAAAGAAAGCAATGACGTTAATACACGTTGAATAAACGTCACTCAAGCAATTGACAAGGTCACCCCTATCCACAATTCGCCCTTTTAAAGTATATTAAGAAATGATGCTTAAATAGAAGCGAGATGCCGATTGAAATGTTCATGTCAATCACCTGAGCTATTTCGTTCTATCAATTTTGATAGAACGAAACACGACGCTCCTTTCACGCATTACATATTATGACCTTGCACGGGCCTTGTATTTGAATCAATGCAAAAATACGTGATTAACAGTATATTCTGAATTTTACTACATTAATATATTTACTGTCAGTCTGCAAATACACAATACTAATATATATATATATATATATATATATNCTGTCTCTTATACACATCTAGATGTGTATAAGAGACAGTATATAGCCTATGTTACGCTATCCGATCCAAAATATTTTTATTTGAGATACTTTTTATTTTTAAATATAAATATTATTTTTCCACTTAAAATTGTCTTTACAGCGTGGACTTTTCCTTTCCAAGGTTGTTCTTACGAGATTTGGGATATCTTGGCAACTTTTTTTTTTGTTTTTTGTTTTTTTTTGTTTTTTTTTAAATATATATTAAAACATTTGATTTGAAAAAAAAAATGGAAAAGACCAGGCATTTCCTTAGAAGTTGAATATTATAGCACTCGATGAATACAAAATGTTTAATAGCAAAGGCTTTACAAAGACCTTGTTTAGTGTTTGTATAAGAGAATATATTATACACATAATATTATTCTAAACAGTCTAAACGAGGTAACATCGATTTAAAATTTGTCATTGCTTATCTAAAAACGCTGTGGTTGGAGGTTCGGTACCGAATCCGTTATTTTCAGGTCTTAAAGATTCGGTACCGGATTTGTTGTTGTCAGGCGTCCATTTTCGGTACCAGATTCGTTGTTTTCAGACCTTAAAGATCCGGTACCGGACTCGTTGTTCTCGGGACATTAAGCTCCGTTACCGGATACGTTATTTCCCGAACGTCAAGTTCCGGTACTAGGCCTAGGCCCCTACTGGCCTAGGCTAGGCCTAGTATCAGATCGTCGTTTTCAGGTTTTCCCAGGGTTCAGTACCACCAGCAGTAGGCATTGGCGTAGTCGTCGAGGACGGCGCTTTTGAAAGGCTAAGCCTTCCATGGTGATTATAATGCTCCGCCGTGTAGGCCTAGCTAGACTAGGCATTGGCCCTAGTAGGCTAGCCCCCACCCCCACCCCCCCCCCCCCCCCCCCCCTCCCCCCCCCCCCCCCCCCCTCCCCCCCCCCACCTAACCCTAGTTGACAGAGATAATTTAATAAAATAATACTAATAGGCTTAGATATTGGCAATAGGTAGCAGCCTAGGCCTCACTGAGATGTAGCCTATAGCCTACCTAGGGCCAGGCATGTTCTAGTAATAAAAACACATCGCATCGATATGTCTATCATGAACAAATTAATTTAAAAAAAAAAACGTCAGTTACTTTACTATCTAAATATTTTTGTTGAAATTATGCTTATCATTTTGAACTACTGTAAAGTTTGTGTTGATTTGTCTTGTAATTTAACTTTAATTTTTTTCATTATTTAATTATATTATTTTTTATTTGTTTACTTAGTGAAACCGCACCTTTTTACAAGCTGATTTCTTTCTTGGTTTCTGGTACTTGCGTTGTATTATTATGTGGTGAATAAATTAATTTTAAACACCTGCGATGAGGACCTCTTTGAGTCAGCTTCGCTATAAGAGCCCTTGAAATATTCTTGGATAATACCAAAGCTCAGTCCATAATATCACTGCTATTAACTGCATATATAAACATGATGTGCCTATATATGGCCTTCATGATGTGTTGCCATCATGACCATATTTAGGAATTATACTTGTTTTTGGCAAATAAAATGTAATAGTCTGGGCAGGGATTTAGCACTACAGAAAAATACAATAAAAATCAATAAAAAATACAATAAAAATCAATAAAAAATTACAATAATATTTAATAAATGAAAACAAAGCAGTAAAAAAAACAATTTAAAATCCTGAATATAAATCTACATCTGGATTTGATTATCATTTGCTTAGAACATTTATTATTTCCAGATAAATAAAAGCATATGAATATATTTATTTCCAATAAAAATTCCCAACACAATATCCATTAATCATGTATGGCAAATAACTAGCAAGATCAAAATTGACTGTCTGTATGGTCCCCAGAAATGGAAATCTCGTACTTTATAAAATGTTTTCTATTGTGTCTAAAATTGAACTCCCAAATGTTGTAATACGCCACAGTCTGTCTGAAAGTGCACGTTTTATTTGACTGTTGATATTTTACCTCATCAATGCTATAATAGTTAATTTAATATTAAGTTAATAAAATATTTAATAAATTAAAGTTAAATAATTAACAATACAAAAACATTGAGTCAGGTCACCTTGGTGTAAGTTGTTGTATTTTACTATCGTTGTATAAAGGGAATACCTTTACAATGAACAAATATCTAATTTATTTGTAGGAATATATACGTATAGGTTATATATATTAAGTATATTTTGTTATATCTGGGGCAGAAAGCAACTGGGGTCTGACCTTGAAGCATAATCATTTAATTAAAAATATTGTAACATAAACAAGAATATTAAATAAATTAAATCAATAATAATTAAATCATATCACTCATCTCTGACACGTCACAAGACCTTCCCATAGTAAAAATGGCAATCATTATTTTGTCGCTCACATCACGAACTAACACAATCGAAGTAGATTGTGTTAGTTCGTGAAATCACAGTTGCGCGTCAAAACGAGCGCGTATTGGTTGTCAAGCAATTTTGTATTCTTTACCACACAAAAAGTCCTTAACGACAACAGCGCGTATTTTGACGCGCTTTTTTTATTTCACGAACTAACACAATTGAATTTAATTGTGTTAGTTCGTGATGTGAGCGACGATTTATTCAATCTATAAATACATATGATCAATATAAATACATTTCTTTAAAATATATATTTAAATCAATATGTTAATACACTGTTTTTATATAGTTTTGTGAGCGATGTAGCTGAGGCCTGGATATAATATATGTATTAACGTATATCAACTGAATGTCATGATAATAAAAAAAATGTTTTGTTTCAATTCTGTATGTGGTAGATTTAACGAAATAAAATATCCTGAATGAATATTGTGGAAATAAAAGTAAAAAGATTAGATAGGCAATCTTGTCTTGGAACATATCGTCAATGTTCTCGTAGTATTAAAGAGTCGATCCGCATTACACGGGCCGACCGAACAGTCTCTCATAAAGCATAAATTGTGCAAAAATGAGATACATTAGCGTTTTATTAGGACTTCCATTAGTTTGCCATGTTTTAGTATGCCAACAATTTCTGCTCTTCTCCAAATCTTTTGAATATGGATAGCAGAAAGACAATTGCAAAATGCAGGGAATATGGACAGAAGAAAGGCAATTTTTGATGACAGTCCAAGTGCTTGAGGAACACGTTGTGTATTCTGTCAGGGTCTTAAGTTTTACAGGGTGCGACGGGGGCCGGCCCACCTTTAGGGAACGGTTCCCCTCCAACGGTCGGGGAGAAAAACCATAATTCGTCGGGGAGAAAAAAAAAATCATTTATTTTGTACATATTGTGTACATAATTATTAGTAGTCTCTAAAATCGATTAAATAAGCCTTTGAAACCCATAAATTGTCAAAAGACCACTTTCTGAACATTTTAAGCGACACTGGACCTCACCCACTTTGTTTTCGTCAGGGAAATCTTCCCCCTCATTGGGATATCGCTTAAAACCTATACAACCAATATCAATTATTTCACAATATTATAATCATAATTGGGGGGAAGAGGGGAGCAATTTTCTACTTTTGCGCCCGGGCACCAAAACCTCTAGCCCCACTACTGCAAGGAAGCAATGATAGGAATTGAACCGGGTACCAAGAGATATCTACGGTTTAATGCACGGTCCAGCACACACACAGTGGCTACCACTAGTATATCTGATTGAGCTAAACTGCTGGGACTGATTTCAGTGTGTCAGATGTTGCTTATTAATATTAATATACACTTTGGATAAGTCGACATGAAAGCGTTCTCACAGCCGTTCTGCAGTCATTGTACCGTAAAGTCACCAAGCGTCACTGCTTCAAACATCCAGCAGAAGAAAATCGCACATTACAAATTTTGGCACGTCATTGAGGTTGAAAACTTGCAATGTAAGTTTCTTAAAATGTAAACATAAAATTTCAGTAATGCTTACTATCAGGAAAGTAAGCAATTTTATCTTGCATTCAATGTTATTTTCTTTTTCTAAGATCCAGAATTAAAGGTGAACGTTATATATTGGATCAAGATGAGCTATTGTTTTAACTCAACAATCTTGCACTCTTATCATGGCATATGTTCTTGTGTTCATTAGTACTTGTTGTGATGTTATCATGTGTATGGTGCACACCTAGAAGAAATGTACAAGGTTAGTTACTAGTAAACCAATTTTACTTTAATGTTCAGTCATTCATTCTGTTTTTATTATC